CCGGCGCCTCGCCCGCCCCGCGGCGCGGAAGCTGTGCAAGATGGAGGGAGTGAGGGGAGCGGGCAGGGGTCGAGTCCTGCAGCGCTCGGCTGGAAATACGGCCCCTTCCCGGGGGAGGGGGAAGGACGTAGCTGAGAAGGGTTTAAGGAACGCTTTTTGCAGCAGTACAGCGATCCGGGAAGGCGACGGCTGTTTGCAGCTCGGGAAACAGTTTGTTTCCGTAAGCTGCTGAAGCTTATGGAAGCCATTTCACCTTGTCACTCCGGTTTCACGCTCAAATAGAGAGCTGTGATTTTGTGCTTTCTGATCAGGAGAGCTGAGGGGTTTCCATCGAGCCCTGTAAGAGCTGATGCGCTGTGGTGTCGAGCACCTGAAGAGAGTGATAATGCAGCACCTGTTGAGGGGATCCTGCCGTTTGTGCCCTCCTGTGAGAACTTCTAGGAACCTTAGCTACCTGAGCTGGAAATCGGTGGTTCCTCTACTCACTAGACCGTTTTGTCCAGATTATTTTGTTCAGTTATCAACCTGAACCTTGATTTGATTTCCTGCATCGATATTTTTTTCAGTCCATTCTGAGGGAAGATTCAGTCTTGCAAGAGTACTAAGCATGGCAGCCCTGTACCTCGCAGGCAGCAGCTGTGCTGCTGCTCTTTGCTTAAATTCTAGTAGTCCAGCAAGTTTCTGCAGGTTGTTTAGAGGCTTGGTTTAGGTGTAGGTATCTAACAGCTTGTGTGTCAGCTGTGCTTCTTGCCTTTCATGTTAGGTTTTGACTGCAAGTTGTAACGCTCATAGTAAGAAAAATATGACATAATGTAAAATGGTAATCATGGGATGGCTGGTTTTTTTTCCTCTGGTTTTCATGCCTAATACTTCCTATTTTCTTTAGGGGGAAGCTGGGCCGGTATCCTCCATGGCCAGGAAAGGTGAGGTTTGGTTGTTGTGGTGGGTGTTGTTTGTGGTTTGGTTTGTGTTTGGTTGGTTGTGTGTTTTTGTTTTTTTTCCTTTGTGTGTTTTTTTTTTTAATTTATTTTGCTTATTCCTTCTGCACAGAGAAAGCTTTGCCTGAAAGCATTTCAATTGAAGATCAATATTGGTTGGTTTGATGGTTTTAAATGTATGCCCCAGATAGCTAAACTGTGAACCAGTTTAAGTCTTTATTTGATTTAGAAGTTTAGTCTGTCACTAACAGCAGTTAGTTCAGGTGGAATGAAAAGCAACAGAGAGCAGTTGATTGAGCTCTGGAACTGATTGTGTTTCCAATATTTAGGTTTTTAATACTTATTACTTTCTGCGAGATAGGCTTCTTCCCTTACATAAGAAATTGGTAAATGCACTGTGTTAAATAACAGAAATAAAGAGTCTGGCTTCTCAAGATACCGTTCTAGAGCTATGTTTTTTGTGTAGTTGTTCTAGGGGTAGGGAGGAGTTAAACTTTCTCTTCTGGTTTGGTTGTTTTTTTTTCCTGATGAAAGACAAAAAAAATTATATATGCTATTTTTGTTATTTCTACTTCTCTAAAAGAACTTTGCTTTTATTTTTGGTGTAGGTATGAGGACTCAGCATGCTGAGATAATAGCGTGTGGCAGGGAAAAGTGTCAGTGTGGCTGAGAGCTGTAAACATTTGGTTATTGGATCGGGTTATGTCCACGCTCCCCTCCGGTCTTTCGCATGTCACCCGAGTAACTTAAAGACAACTTTTCTCTTAGTATTTTAAACTTTATAAGCAATCTATTCTAGGAGTAAGAACAGAGCTTCAGGTGTAAGTTTTAAAAGTTACCTAAGTGGAACAAATTTTTATTAATGTAATTTGACTTTCTGAATTTTAGAAAAGTTCATTAGCTTAGCTCCTGGGGATAGGGAGAATAAAACCTCATTGAGAATGTAGGTGATGTATCTGTGGAGTTTGGGTACTTTTTTACTTTGCTGCAATGTACCCATATGGAAGGAAATATGTGGGTTACATATTTACTTGAAAGACTTAAAGCAGATTGAAGTTCTCTTCCTAGTCAGGTTAAAAAAAAAAATAAATTATAGAAACTATAACACATGATAGTAAAGTCACAGAGTACAAATTTTCATTATGTGCCTTTTAACTTTCACTTCTAATCACCTTCAGATTGTTAATCCACCTAAAGATCTGAAGAAACCTCGTGGAAAAAAGTGCTTCTTTGTGAAGTTTTTTGGAACAGAAGATCAGTATGTACCTGCTTGTTTTCATCTGGTGAAAATACTGTGCCGTATAATAATGATCTGTTGTGGAAGAAATAGTTACTAATGTGGTGCAGTGTAGCTTTGCAAAGGATTGTCTTTGATCTGCATGTAAAAAAAAATTCAACTTTTATTGCTAAAGCTGCTGATGTGTGTGTCTGAAGACTGTAAAGACTTAGGTACTTAGGGTTTTAGTTGTCACTGTGAAGGAAAGTTTTTGGTAGCTTGCCATTTTTAGAGGAGTAGATGTGACATGACTGGGTTGGATTTTAGCATGTAACTGCACATGAGAGAGGTACAGCTAAGAGCAGGCATTTGTTTTTCTGCCAGAAGAATAAACCAGCTATATACTTGCCATTTGTGAAAGAACAGACTGTCATACCTGGTGACTGAAAATATCGTGTGCTTTGGGAAGACTTTACAATGTAGGAAAGCCCAAACTGCGTGGACTATCTTTTTAAAAGGCAGAACTTACTGATACCAAACACATGTACAAACTCATAGTTGTCTTAGACTTAGATACTTATAAAGTGAAAAAAGAAACCAACCACCACAAAAACCCCAAACACAAAAACCTGAGGACATGGGCATTTCAGGAAAACGAAGATGATTTTGCTAATTTTGCAGTTTTTCCCTTATTGCTATTTTGCATTAAGTCATGTGAAAAGGGAGAAAATTAGAAATACCTGTGGAAGACTAGAAAACCTTTTACTTTTTGGAAAAAAGGTAACAAGAACTGAGACAGTTTAGTGGGTATTTCTTAAGGAGATGATTTTTGACTGCTAAATTATTTTTGCTCAATAGTTAAAAATAATTTTCCATTAAGAACTGAGGTTTGAATTTGATGGAGTAGGAGTGAATGCTGCAGATTAAAAGGAACGTTTGTTGGGTCTCTAGCAATGTAAGGCAGGCAGAAGTTGATTTTGAGGGCTTTGTTGTTAAACATGCTTTTTTGAGCTGATCAAGTTCTAGAAGTCGAGGAGATACACTATGTCCTGATTGTTCTTAATTCTTGTATTTCACTTCACTGAATCAAATAGAGATGTTTTTGATTAAGACAAGTTTGGGAAAAGTGGTCCTACATCTGGGGTACTGTAGCTGAGATTAGCAGTGCGATTGCAAATGAAGAGTTCAGAGCTGCAAAATGATCAGGATTTACCACACAGTTCTAAAGCTCTGGCTTTGGAAAATCCAGTCGTCTGGCACAGTAAGGTAGTGTGGTCATTGGCACATCTCACCCCCCACCTCTACCTTGTGAAATTTAATCATTTCCTGCTAGACAATCACGATTCAGAAGTTTGTTCGCTTTGACTATCATATACCCTACCTGAAAAATAAATAAAAATAATGTCCCTGTTGTTCTTTTAAAATAATACTGATGGACGGAAGAGAGAAACTTGTGTGCCTGTTCTGTCGTGATTTGGAACGTTTTAAAAAGAGTGTTCTCAAGCAGTGTTCTGATGGAGAAAATCCTTATCTTTGAGCATAATCAGCGAACCATATCAGGAGAGATTTAAATGATTTCACTTAAAATGTAAGCACGAAGAGAAAATTACTTATTTTGTGCAAGTAAACTAATGTGTTTTGGAAATACTTTTCTCTAGGTGTGTAAGTAGAAATACATAACTGACAAAATGTCACTCCTCTGCCTAACGAACAGTGTGACAGGTAGGAGGATGCGAAGCTCCCTTGCGGACTGCAGTCTGTGGCGTGATGAGTAAACTTACCCATACTGATACTGTAGTCCATCTTGCTTCTGCTTTTGAGGCCTTTGCTCCTTCTGCCACTTTCAAGTTTATAAGGTGACATCACTATGCCACTGATCCATTTTTACAAGTGTTCTCGTGTTCCTTACTCTGTCAGGGTTTAACAGGTGAGGATCTGGGTATAAAGTTATTTCCCTGTTGTCCAGTTTGTGTAAGGTGAACGTGATGCTGGTTGCCGCATAGAACCACTCTCACAAACATGAGGTGTGGGTGGTTACCAACCAGCTTGTCCATGTGTAGACAGTCTCAGACTTGATAGTTTTACTTTCTTCTGAGGAGTCCCAGGTGATGGATGTGAAATGCCACCATTTCAGGCTAGGTAAAAGTTGTTTCCTCCTGACTTAGGTGGCTCTAGTTTGTCATATCAATGATAGAGGAGAAAGCTGCTTGGAAGGAAGAACTTCTGTGCATGGATCTGGGCAGAGCGGAGGGGTGAATGAAAGCATACTGATGAGTTTGGCAGTGATTTTGGTGTCATGTATAGATAGATTTTGGTTATTTGGGAAATCCTGAGCACCTTGGGATACAGCACAGAAGAAAATGCATTTTTCTTAACCTGTGAATTGAATACTAATAGTCACTGCTCCAGTACAATGCTGCAGTGACGTAAGGATATACATTACCTGGAAGACTGTAAGTAGTTTTGGCTGAAGACATGAAAGTGAGAGCACGAGTGCATTCAGACTGTGATCTAAGACTTGGCTTTTGATGAAGTTTCTACTGAGCTCTATGCTCCTTGTGTTTATTGTGTTGGTGGAGTTAGTTCCTTCTGTCACTTTCAGAGTAATAGGTTTTCTGGAAGATGGGGATTCTCTACCTGTGGAAGAAGAATTTGCTTATTCGTTTAAACTGAAGTACACCTGTGCTTTACCACAGTGAAAACCACCTTCGTGTTCGTAGTAGTAATATAATATCCATGTCTTATTCTAAGTGGTTCCCTTAATTGTGATGCTTGTATTCATTAACTCATTGTCTCATTAACTTGTTCTCCAAAGTGATAAGGAGATTTTTCCAGTCTGCACAGGAGTTCTTTTTCTGAATGTCTCTTCTCAGAATAAGCCACATTAAAATGATTTTTCATCTAAAATTGAGAATAGTTCATGTTTCCTGTCCACAGACCTGGCAAACATGTAACAACTTCCAATTATGGGAGTATCAAAGATTTTAATTTAGTTTTTCTAAATAGAAGTGCATCTTTGATCTGTCTTTCGAACTGTGCTTTTCAGATAGTTTTGAAGATCACCTCCTATTTCCCAAGCTACAGTCTTGTTCTAGGAATTCTTTGTAGATTGTTCCATTAAAGTACTGTAACATAAGAATTTATATGTTGGTATATATGTGTGTTTGTTTGCTTTAGTAGCTGGAACTAACAGTCTGGCAGGCCCCTAGCATTCAGGCTCTTCTTGGTGTGCTTCACCCATTTAAAAATATTCTTACATGTTATGGCCTGCCTGGGAATTCATTATGACACTGTCAAAACTAAAAAAAATAATTGCTTTGAAGGTATCATTCTACTGTGTTTCATATACAAACTAGGGAGAGTCCTGCAGTCATCGGATACGTGTGTACAAACAGACACGTTCACCTCCTATCCCATCCTCTTTCCCCCTTAGATATTCTGTAATAGACAAGTGGCCTTGCAAGTCTTGTATTTCAAAGTCTCAACAGGAAGCTGGAGCAGTCCATTCTTACTCAGAGCGCCTTTTTGAAGCATCAGTACAAAACTAAATAGTCTCACTAAATGTGGTGGGGTCAAGGGACACTTCCTGACTTGATATATTAAGGAAAAATTGGAGGAAGCTTGCAGTCCAAGATAAGTGTCATAATCTGCAGTCTACTTCCATCAGGCACTGGGATTTTAGCACAGCACTCGCTGCATTCCCATCCTCCATATCCTGTCAGGATGCAAACACCTGCCCTATTCCTCTGCCACTGGTCTCCCTGGTTTTCAAGGGGAGAAAAATTTCTCTGTGTCTTTCTAAAATGCTTTTTCTGGTCCTGACATCAGAAAGCAGTTTCCTAAAGTCAGCCAGGTGTGGGCTGTGATCCTCTCCAGCAGTGAGGGTACAGGCTGAGGTGACAGAGGGGTCAGCTCACAGGGTAGGTGTTCCTCAGGCAGGCAGGTTATCCCACGTGGAGCTCTGTCTTGCTGTAGTCAGACTGCTGGATAGCAGAGCCAGCTGGAATGTTGTTGGACATATCAGTGGGTAGAGTGTCACAGCTGAGAACTATTGTAGGCACAACTTCTCCACCTCTGTGTCTTTGGATGTGTAAGTACTCTGCAAAATTTTTCTGGTCCACAAATTTGAAAAGTGTAACCCGTAGAATTTCTTTCAGTATTTCTCTGCTGCTTGTTTTCTTTTGCAAAGTATCCCCTCCTTTCAGCTGCACAGACACTTATTCTAATATAGCGTGGTCATTTTTGTATTTTTTTTTTCCATTAAGATGTTTACATGTGAAATTCCAGAGCTCAGGCATTTGAGTTTGTGGTGGGTTAACCCTGGCTGAGCAAGAGATACCCACCAAGCCACTCTGTCGCTCCTCCACAGAGCAAAAAGGGGAAAGGAAAAATGAGATGAAGACAAAACCCCTTGTAGGTAAAAATAAAGGCAGTTTAATAAGAAAGCAAACCCAAGCAATGCCATGCGTGGAAACAAAGATAAAGAACCAAAGATTTATTCTTTCCTTCCCATCCCCAGGCGATGTCTGGCCCCTTCCTGGGAAGCAGGGCTCCAAAACGTGCAGTGGTTGCTCCGGAGGACCAAGGAGTAGCTGCCCCACCTCTGTGCTGTGCAACCATTGCTCAGTGGTAGTCACAACACGGGTGTCATGAACACTCTTCTACCTCCCAACACAAAAGCCCTGCTCCATGAGGGCTGCAATGGGAAAATCAGCTCAACCAGACCCAATACAGAGTTGTTTTACTGATGAAAATTGGGGCATTCCCTTCTAACAGCAGGAAACCCATCTTGATTTTACTGTTGTGCACTCATACACACTGGGCTTACAAACAGCCAAACAATTTTCTTTTGACTTTGAAATTTGGTTGTTTTAGCATTTGGTGTGGGCACCTAAACTGCTACATTGTAAAACTTCTATGAAATTTTTCCTAGACTGTAGTAAGTAATAGAGATTTGGAGATACAGCGCCACTGTTTTCCATCCCTAACTGTGAGGCTTGCAAAAAAATGAGTATTTATGGATATTCCTCTAATCTCCGCTTTATCACTACGAATTGATGTCTTTAGACTGGAAGAATTTAAGGTCTCCTTGCCTGTGAGAAGCTTGTATTGTGGGTTTGAATCCCCTTTCTCTGGTTCTGCCTCTTCTGCACCACTGTTGGCCGTGCAGCTCCAGGTCACGTTTGCACTTGCCTCTGCGTTACAAGCATTCTGCGCTGGGTGTAACGTGGATTCTATGTGCGGCGTGGTTTTGTAAGAATGATAGCTTGGAGGGGATGAGGAAGAGTATGGAGGAATGAACAGAGAACCCGTTACTAACATGTATTTTATTTACACCTTTTCACTTTCCATTTAGCCTATTCCCTACAGATACCAGGTGACTTCTGTGCAGCAGCATGGGTACAATTCCATCTTAAATATGACATTTCAGTAACGTTTTGCCACTAATGCTTTTCTAGGACATTAATTCACTGCTGAGTCAGGAGAGAAATAGTAGTTACTTTTATATGTTGCATCCCAGAGACCTCTTATCTAAATATTTGCCTTCATTGGCTTCCAGATTATTGCTTAACAGGGAGATCTTGTGTATAAACATGAATTATTTTGTTTGGTGAAAAGTTCTCTTGTTCTCAAGTGTTTGAAACGTTGCAGGCAAATGCTTTATGGACATCAAAAGACACGTTCGTGTTTTGTAGAGAGTTGTCTAGATAGGTGACACAAAGAATAAACTACAAAGAAAAAGACCAATATTTTATAATTGTTTTTATTTTATTTTAAATGTCTTTTTAAAGCCAAAGCAGTATTCAAGACTGTTTTTCACTTAGTGTGTGTCTGAGATGTCTGGCTCTTTGTCCTGGGGAAGATGTACCTTGGAGCCTGGGAGCCAGAAGCCTTTGTTGCAGACTTTCTCCATACCAAAGGAAGAGTATTGAGAGAGGAAGCTGATGAACGCATCGTGAAAAAGGATCTGGTGTGCAGAGACCCTAGAGGATGCCTTGACAGAAAAAAAAAAAAAAAAAATGATTTAGAAATTAAAATCTGGCAATGTTTTACATGCTTGATTATAATGTGCCCCAATTTTTTTTCCTTTATGTGCATAATGGTGAGGCTTCTTGTGAGCTGATGTTGTCTAGTGCCTAGGGATGCTTTGTCACTGAGTGCCATGGAAGAGCTTTACAGCGTAAGAGAATTTGAAGATACATTTTGCTATAATGTGTGGGTGGGTAGGAGGGATTCTCAGAATAGCTGGTGGATGGCAGGTGCTAGTCTGAATGTAATGGTTTGACCTGCTATATTATACTAAATCAGTTATTATGAAGAATATATCCTATATCATGCTTAGTGTCTGAAAAGGCAGTTATTCAGCCACTTCACCTGCTTGCAGGAGTTAGACTGCACTGGAGAATGTTTAAAACCTATAATAATGGCTAGTCAGTATCTGTAATATAGAGATATTTTGGGACCAGAGAAAATCAGTTGGACTGTTTTTTACTGTGTGCTGGGCTGCTATACGCTAACTCATCCTAGCTCAGGGAAAGCTTTTCTAAAACTTCCCCAGTTCTGTTTTCAGTAGGACCTTCTACCACTGTGGCTGGGCCTGATTTTGGGAAAAGAGGAAGGTAGTGTAATCTCTTGGAGAGCCACAAGGAATGTTGAAAGCAATGGTATTCCCCTAAGCTGCATTGAGGCGTGGTAGAAGAGCTTGTCAACCTGAAGGAGAGTGGAGTTGTCACCCTGTACTTGGCCACTTAAACCATTTGGTAAATGTCAGAAAGTCCTGTTTAGCAGCAGTGGAAACAGGGAAGTTATTGGAGTTTCTTTGTAGGACTGCTGTCAGATAAATACTGTGCTGCTCCACCAGTTATCTTAAAATATAACCAGTGAATAAAATGGTTCTTTTTCCTCAAAATGCTGTTTTCGTGCAGAACATCAAGGTATGTCAGAAATACATTCAACAATTATTGTTGAATCATGAGTGCTGTGATGTTTGCCCGCGCTCTTTTGTGCTTAGCTGTGTCGTGAGATACATAATTTTGGAGGGTTTTCTCCAGTTTTTGCAGACACTTGTGTGTGCACAATATGTTTGAACAAGGAATTGATTGCTTAGAATTGTTGAGTGGCCTCCACTTTCAACAGTCTCTCAAGCTTGTTCATATTATTGGCTACCTTATGCAGAGGCATTGCTTGTGGGTATTCTTCCTGGTGATACAGGAGCAGTCACTAGACTGCCTTTGCTCTAAACAAGCACTTCCAGTCACATCCAAATGCTGTCTTGCTGATAGAGAATATGAATAACGTTTAGAGCAGAGCACTGCTTAGCATAAGAGGATATCAGATTTGAGAGAGAAATCAAGTGAAAGTGCCAGAAGAAAGTTCTCAGTGAATGCAGAAATCACAGCCCTTCAGGTCGTAGAAAGCAAGGGAGTTTGGGCTGCTACCATCAGTTGCTCTGGAGAAGGAGAAAAAAAAAAAAGTGTTTTTACAAGTGGGATGGTTGAGCAAATTGCTGTTTGGAGAATGTAACTTTTTATTTGTTTCTAGTGCTTGGATCAAAGTGGAGCAGCTGAAGCCTTATCACCCTCACAAAGAGGAAATGATAAAGATTAACAAGGGTAAGCGCTTCCAGCAAGCTGTGGATGCTGTAGAGGAGTTTCTTAGAAAAACCAAAGGCAAGGACCAGGTGAGTGGGTTCTTTACTGTGTGCATCAAAACAAGTCTTGGTGTGAATGATGATCAGATGGGGTTTTGCGTGAAAGGAGTTTGTTGCCTTTGGCTAGTTAAGGGGAGTTTATTTTCATTCCTTTGGGCTTTTTATTCCTCTGTCCGTTCTTCTCCCCGTTGAATCTTGTTTGGTGGGAAAAAAATGTTTTTAAACTGATGGAGAAACTGGAGAGGCTAACTGAGCTGCTAATGGTGATTTCATAAATCAGTGTTAAGTCTGGGGCTAGAATTTGATGTCATCTAATCTTGTCTATAGTAGGTTAGAAGTGCATGTATGTGCACACACTCCCATCACATCTTCAAGTGGCCTGTTCTGTTACTTGCTTACTTAAACTGATGCCTTTTTGCAGGAGAAGTAACCAGGAACTCACTCGCCAAATTCAAAGGGCTAACAAATACCTAGTTTTCAAGTTACTGTGCCATTGTTCTGCTTGATAGTAATCAGCACAGAGTCCTTCACATCCTTGGTTTTGCATGAAAGTCATTCCAGCTCTTCTCTTCTTTCCTTACCATCTTCTATTCTGTAATCTCTCAGGCATCTTCCCATAACTCCAGTGAAGAGAAGAATCGGCGTAATTCCAGTGAAGAAAGAGGCAAGCAATCTGCTGGTGAAGAGAAACGCAAAGCCAGTTTGTCTGAAGGGAAGCTGAAGAAGGGCACAGGGGAAGGAAAAAAGAGGGTCTCTTCTGTATCGTCAGAGAGAGGATCAAAATCACCTTTGAAAAGAGCCCAGGATCAGAGCCCCCGAAAGCGGGGGCGCCCACCCAAGGATGAGAAGGTTTGTGTTGTGCATGTCCGCCAGTGCCCTGTGGACTTTGCAGATGGACTTGAGGGTTGACTGGCACCTTGACTACCAGGCCAGCAGGAAGAGTCAGTTCAGTATCAATTTTTTTCTTTAAGCTGTTCCATGTTACTACTTTTAGATCATCTGGGTGCCTTATACCTTTGGCCATCATATTGTTGATTCTTCATATAATTTTTACTGGTTAGTTATTTTGAGTGGCCCTAGTCATATCTTTAAGAGGGCTTTGAGTGCTGTATCGTGGGAATCCACCTTTCATCTTGCCACCCCTTAAGTTCAGTTTCTGTAGGAAAGATTAGTGAAGAGATGTGGGTCTTCCATCTGGTTCCAGGCTTCTCCCATCTCATCTGCTCTGTATGAGTAAGTGATTAGTAGTCACTCAGTTTCACCCTCAGTACACAGAGGTTGAGTTATTCTTAAGGGATAGGGCTTAAAGAAGAAAATTCTGTAGCCTGGAGAATCCACCAGAAGAATTAATCGTATTCATTTTGGCTTCTGTGTTGTAGGCTAGATTTCCATCCTCCATTATGAAGGTCCAACCTTGTAGCATTATTATTTTACTTGATTCCTTGTTATTTCTGAATGTTGTGGTAGTGGCAATAGCCACCGATACTTTGTCTACCCTCATCCAGAGTTCCAGCCTTTTTATTTATTGTGGAACTCATTGTTGTGGTCCAGATCTTCCTTTTCTAAACGGATAATTATTTCCATGGATTATTACAATGCATGTGCTCCATCAGGGACTACACCTGAAGACTATTGGGAGACTTCATCTGACAGACCATGTGGCAGCCTGCTTAGTATCTGTGCTTCAAAGACAGCTTCACAGCTCTGCTTCACAGTCCTTGTTTTCAATGCACTTCAGGATACAAGTCAAGATGGTAGTCTTTGATCTCTAAATCTGTGAATGGATTGTCCTTTGCTGGTTGAAAGAAAACTCTTGATGTAGTAAAATGAAGCTGATCATCTCAGATATTAGTTATGAAGAACATACCAACACACTTTTTTTTTTTTTAGAGCCAGTTTCTGTTAAATAAGGCTGTATAATAGAGCCCATCAGTTTCTCCTTTTGGGAGGAGTTGGAAGAGGAATGGATCCATATTTGTGAATTCTTACTAATAATTACAGAACTTGTGGCTTGACTGATGCGGGAAGACATTTTGCCAGCAATATACTTTCACCTTTCAAAGTGTCTTGTTATAAGCATGTTGTACCTTCACATATTTCAGTTACAGTAAGCCACGAAGCCTTTTCTTCCACTTGCAAAATGCCTTTTGTTCTTTGAGCTCTATCAATTCAGAAATTGATCAAAAGTAACAGCTGAGAGAATTCTGATAATGCTGATACCTTGTGTGCTTAGGTTTTGCTGTATTGACTACTTGGGCATCAGAGTACTTGTAAGTTAATTGTTGTAGTAGAAATTACTTTACTGGCAAATTGCAAGTGGGGTGGTTTTGAACAGCTTTTATCATAATGAGGTGGCCAGCTATGTGATAAATGCCTGGCCACAGGCCATGAAAATAAGCAGGCTAGCGGAAGAAAGTAGCCGTAGAGCCTCTGGAATGTAATGTACAGACAGCTGAAGAATTTGCAATGAAAATATAACACTGCTGCCTTAATGCTATTTTTCAGCCAGTTAAATAATTTTAAAATCTTTTCTTCTCCTTCCCTTGTTCTCATCATTTCCTCAAATTGTTAGTCCTGGGGTAGAAAACATTTATGTCACTGTCCTGAATTACTGCAGTGTTGGGATTTGGGTTTTTTTGCCCCATCATGGTCTCAGTTTTGGCTTTCCAAGTGAAAATGCGTTGCATAAAATTCAAGAATCCAGTTGTTGCTGAGACATGCTCTGTCTAGAAATGCTCTGTAGGCATACATGATTATTCAGATACTCTCAATTTTCAGCTTACACAAATATTTTTGAAGGACCGACATGACCTCATAGGCATCAGAGCAGGTTTCATCTACGCTTTACCAGTTGAAACGGCAAAGTGGTCTCTGGGGAGAGAATTCTAGTGTGCAGGTCTCTTCCCAGATGCTTTAAGGGTTGAAGACTGGTACCTAAACTGTTCCTGCTAACAGACTGAATAGTTGCATCAGTCTGGACTGCCTCTCGGAGTCTTGCTCTTAGCTTTTTTATAAACGGTGCTCTTCTGTTGTGGTTCTGCATGGACACTAAGGTATATTATATATTTTCAGGCAGTAAGTCTGGAGGGGAGGTAATGGATTACATTTCTGAACCCTCATTTCAACGAGATGACATACACTATGCAGAAGTCCTGCACGTTTTATTCAAACAGCAAAAAGACCTAGATGTCTGTAGCATTTGTGCATGACTTAGAACATAAAGACCTATTTTAGCCTATATATCTTGGGGAAATAAGAAAGATAAATTTTAATCTGCCCAACAGCAAAAAAACTTGATGCATTAGGTATTTGCATGACATTGCACATTGGGGCCTGTTGAGTGAACGGGGCAGTCCACGTCTTGGTTTCTCTCATGGATTCTGCAGACTTGAGCAGGTGTGACTGTCAGCCTCATGCTTTGAGGGTTGTCCTGTTAACAGATAGGCTACTTTTTTTGTGATGGGGAGGATAAGAAGAGTTCAGACCTCTGATTGTGGTGATGTTCTTCACCCACTTGTTTATTTTTTGCATCCATCAGAGAAAAATGCTGGATTGAGTGTGTGTGTTTGCTTCTCTGCTCGTTGCATGATTACACAACTGCAGTGATTCCTCTTGCATATGAAGAATGGATTCTCCCAAAGCCATGACTGTGGTTGAATTCCTTCATTGGCATTTCATGTTTCCTTCGCCTCGCCTGTGTTGATAACACTGTGCTTAAATATGAACAATTCATGGAAAGGCATGTGAAATGGAAAGCGTTTGTAGTGCTTTTTAAAACTCATTTGGTGCTCCTAGGATCAACATGCTGTGGCCAGCCTCTGAGCTAGATTGTAAGCTCTTTCTGAGCCTCCTTTTATCTCCTCAGGACCTTACGATTCCAGAGTCAAGTACAGTGAAGAGAGTGATGACTGGAACAGTGGCTGGATTTAAATGGCCTCCAAGTGTCAGTGAGGTGAGAACTTTATAAAATTTGTGAAGGAACTCTAGAGTATACTCTAGGAACCGAGTTCATGGAAGCAAATCTAGAACCTTTTGTGTGGGCTGTAAAATAGCAAGATCTTCTCTTCCTTCTGTGGGAACACAAAAAAAAAAAAAAGATGCTATTGTTCTGTTATTCTGTATTGTGACAAAGCTAGACAAATTGAGAGGTAGTGTGGGAAGTGAGGTTTCAGTCTTTGTGGAGCCATTTGCAAATTCACACTTCAGAAGTGCAAAAATGAGTGCAGCAAATTGTGTCAAACTATTTCTGGGTCTGGATTGTCAAAACTGGAGGAGATGGTATGGATAGACAGTCTTTCCCTGTCTGGATACTATAATACAGGGTAGTTTCCTTTGATTTCCCTCAAAAGCAGCTTTTGGAAACCTTCTATTTTTTGCCTAAATATGTGATCAGTAAAGAAGAGTAAGAGCAGCATGACTCTAGGCTAGTGCCTGTGATACTTGTTGGGGAGGTGCGATACCTGGGCCTGCCGTCCTTGTTGCTGTTGATAGAGGTTTGCCTAGTATGTGACAGTGCTAGGTGTAATCTGCAGGCAATACCAAGAATGCTGTCTTAAGGAGTTCCTTGAAATGTTTTCATTCCCTTGGGAAGAGGAAGATCCTCGTCCTGTGTTCATCTTTGCTCATAATATTTGGTTTTCTTACAGATGTCCAAAATAAGGAATTGGACTTGAATGGCTTTGATTTTGGGAATGAAACAGTGTAAACTGCTTGATTGAAACAGGCTTCATAACTGAAAGAGGCTGCTTGATACAGCTGATGCAATTTCTTTTTTCCACCTGAGGCTATTGTTCTCAAACAGCTTGGGAGAACAATGTGCTGTGGTTGCTCAGTGACTCCCTGGGAATGTTTCTGAGCCTGCACTTTCTCTTTTTTAGCCTGTGAAGGACAGTGATCCATATTTCCATCTCATCCTGCTGAGTCAAACGGAGAAGGTGAGGATTTGGCAGACAGGATTGTTCTGCTTGGCATTCTGCCCTTTGCTGAGACTAAGTACAAGGAGTATGTGTAAAGAGCTCTGGAATTCTCTTCTTTGGGGGCTAGCAGCAGTTAGATTCTTATGTGCAATCTTGTAGTTCAATTACTTCCTAACCCTACAGTTTAGAATAGTTTAGCATTTAGTACAGTGAATAGTTTAGGTAATTAAAGATTATCTAGCACCAGGATTTGACAGATCTGTTGTAAAAAATTCTGTAGATTAAACATTGAGGGGTAGGAAAAGTTGTTTTTCTGTTTAAAACCCTGGTCATTTATTTGTCTTCTCATATTAAAAAGAAGGTTTTGCTTCCACAGTTGCTTTGACGTACTGAGCATAGATAGGAGGCAGGATGCTCTGTGCTGGGCTTTAGAGATCTCTCTTTCCTTTGGACCAAATACGAGAGTAGCGATGCTCTGCATTCTTCCCCCTAGGCAGAAAGGAGTTTGTACCTGTATCAGCAGGCAGCCTGAACTGCTGGGGCAGGCTGGGAAAGGAAGAGTTTAGTATGTTGCAGGAGGTGTTTGGTTTTATTTTATCCCACTGAGGGAGGCCTGAGATTTTTCGTGCTTTGCAGATGGTGGTGGGTGGGTGAGCTGCCTGTTTCTGTGTTACAAGGATCCAGTATGTTTGCTCAGTAGAGCAAATCAGCACTGTCCTTCCCCTGAATGCTTTGTCCTCTCTGTACAGCCAGCTGTCTGTTACCAAGCCATCACAAAGAAGCTAAAGGTTTGCGAAGAGGTAAGGCATATCTTGGTTTTGATGGACATTCCTTATTGTCATGAGGACTTGCAGTTCCTCCAGAGCTGTGTGCTGTATTTTTATGTTTCCTCCCCTCTTTCCTCCTGCCCCTCCCTTCGCCCCCTCCCCAGGAAACAGGATCCACCTCTATCCAGGCAGCAGACAGCACAGCAGTCAACGGCAGTATCACGCCTACAGACAAAAAGTAAGATCTTCAATGCACTTCAGCCATTTCTCTTCCTTTTTCTTCTTCCCAGCCCATACATACAGCCATTATACAGCTTGTCACTGAGAATAAATAAAACTAACATTTCTCTCTAACATCAGATCTTCTCTGTCCTTGTGTGAAACTGATTTGGGGAGCGGGGAAGGGAGGCGAGGCAGCAAAAACCAAATGGGGACTGTAAAGTAGAAGAATTCAGAATAAGGTCTGGCCTGGATATGTTTGCAATTTGGGGCTTTTCTGCAGTTGCCCTTTTCCTGTAGGGCAGAGCATTAAGCAGCAGTGTTTCTGAATGCTGTGTGAGGCAGAAAGATAAAAGGGTATCTTTCTTGGGTAGTGCCTGGCAGTTGACTGGGGCTATTTAATACTCTCCTGAGCATGTATAAGACAAGCGGAAGAGGGAGGAGTGATCTCCCAGCACAAGAGCTTAGCATGTGAGCTTTCTGGTTTCTTTTAACGTCCCCCTTCTTCTTTCTAGAGTGAGAGAAGCCTAACTTGAGCTTCCTGTTTCGCTCTAACTTCCGCTTTGTTCAAATTGAGTCAGGTCACAGCTTGCTGTTTGCCGTTGGGGTCGTTCTCATGGGATGTCAGTTCTCAACTGTACTCCAGGAGAACCAAAATAAGAATGAAGCTGTTCAGGTAAAACAGTCTCACAGGAAGGTGTGGCTCAGAGGTGTATTGTGAGAGGAAGAAATATCTCCTCTGTTTTGAAGGCTTGGAAATAGGTGGATCTTGTTTGTGCTGTTTAAGGAGCCTATAGCGACTTACTGTGACTTGCTTTAGTTGGCTCTAACAAAAGGCAGTGTGGCTAGCTGTGAGAGTGCCGCTGGCTTGCACCTGTAGTGTGGCTAATTCTGAAGAATTAACTGAGGAACTGCCAGGCAGGTTTTGTTGTGATGTTACATTAGACATGTAACTGAGCAGTTCAGAATCTCCTGCTAGAGTGGTGGATTTGGTATGAGGCTGGAGGTGTGATGTATGACAGGATCCTTGCAGCAATGACTGCAGGGGAGTTCCTGTTACAGGTAACTATAGGGATGGAACTTGTTAGGGGGTTGTCTTTTTCTTGAAGGGGGGAGGAAGGAAAACCTCTTGCCTTTATGAGGGGAGGGGGGAGACAGCTGGGATCTGGGACTGTTGTATTGCCACTCGTGGTGATCCACACTGGCCTGAGAGTTCTTTTCGGTGTCCGTCCAAAATTGCAGCTGTAAAGGAGTGACTAGGTCTTTGGTCTGTGTGATGTTTAGCCCAGTAGTCCTTGGTGGGCTTTATTTTGATAAAGATTGTAATGTATCAGTTAATAGGATAAGCAAGTCGTACATGTGGCTTAGTTTAAAAATCAGAAGATTAATTAGAGAAGCACTTGCTGATCTCTAAATATTCTCTTTATTTTCAATAAGGCAATGAGTAGGAACAGTAAGTACAAGAGCAGCAATTCTGATAAAACAGAACAAACAAAACTACAAACAAACAACCACCCCCAAATAAAAAAACAAACAAACAAACAACAGATCACCCAAACCTTTAATATTTAGGTAGTTTTCTTAAACAGATTAAAGATGTCCTTCAGGAAATTGTTAGGGATGCTTGATAAACAAAATATCAGCTTGCTTTTAAAGCTCAGTAGCTGCCCATTCTAGCTGTGACTGCAGCAGAACAAGTTTGGTTTTGTTGTGGTTTGGGGATTTTTTTAGCTGGTGTGATGTTCCAGGGTTTGATCGTCGTCGTTTCCAAGACTGTGAGAGGCTGACACCAATTGCTCTATGTTGCATCGATGTTCATCTCTCCCCCTCAGGATAGGATTTCTGGGACTTGGCCTGATGGGAAGCGGCATTGTCTCCAACTTGCTGAAGATGGGTCACACGGTCACCGTCTGGAACCGGACTGCTGAGAAGGTACGAGTGTGCCTAAGGTGCAGATGAAAGATTCAGGTTAGGAGAAAGAGACACTGTTGTACAGATGATAAATATTTCTAAGTAAGTAGTTATCACCTCCAGCACAGGGAGGCCTGGAGTCACCAGCCGGTGGTGCCTGGGAGAAGATGCCAAAGAAACACAAGTATATGTTTGCCAGCTTGTTCTGTTATTGTATCCTAGGTGCTTTTGTTGGTGGCCACATCTGACTAGATGAAGCTGTAGTCTGTCCTAGCGTGGTCACTCCTGAGTGAACAGTCCCCACCCCATTGCATTTTGTATGAGATGAGAGTTGCCAGAAAAATGACTTTGTGTATGTGGTGAGGAACGCAATGCAGAGTGCCTCTGGCAATTCTGCCGACGTAAGTAGCCAGGTCCTTGTTTCATGGAGCTGGATAAAAAGACTGAGTGCTGGGGAAGTCATCCTTGGAGTGGTGTGGTAAGATGCACTGCTTGACCATAGCTTCATCTACACGTTCATTGTGCTGTTTGTGTTGCAGTGACGAAGGTTCTTTAGAAAACCTGCTGTGTCATAAGACCGTGATGAGAAGAGTTTTATAAGGGTATTCAAAGTGAAAGTGGAGCTTATGTTATGCATATATTCTAGCCAGCATTATGCTTTGTAGTGGAGGAGAAGTAAGTAGCTGGGGGAGATGGTACCATGGAAGATCTAAGGCAGGAAGGGCACGGATTACCTTGTTAAAAGGGATTAAAAGACTATTTTTCTTTTTGACTGCAAAACATGGATGGCATGGAGAGATAGGGCAGGAAGAAGCCAAGATTTTGAAGCAGCAGCCTGCTAAAACATGTCAGTCTTAGCTCTGCATTTTCCTGTTTACTGTCCACTTTTGCTCTTGCATCTTTTGCTATGTCTGTTTACCACTTTTTTTCCCCTTATCTCTCCCCCAAAACCCACAACATTCAGTCTTTTATCATTTCACCTAAGCATTCTCTTTTCCTGTGTCTTTCTTTTGAAGTTCTTCACTTGGTATTTCAGAAAAGTCGCACAAGTGCCCTTTGTGTGCATGGACAAACCAACAGAAGGCAACCCAGTTGCTATGTCATTACTATGCCTGACTTGTACTAAGGCCTAGCAGCAGAGTATTTCAGCAAAATGCTAGAGAACCTGTTTGCTCTGTATGTATTTTTTCTTACGTTTGTATTTGTGACTTTTGCAGTGTGATTTGTTCATCCAGGAGGGGGCACGGCTGGGAAGAACCCCTGCTGAAGTTGTTTCCACCTGTGACATCACCTTTGCCTGTGTATCAGATCCAAAAGCAGCAAAGGATGTAAGGATTAGCTCTTATTTTTCCTCCACCAGCTAGACTACAAGATACAGTCACTGAATGCTACTAACCCTGGTAGCCTGGGTCGTTGCAGATGCTGGGCAGCACAGCTATGTAAAAAAATAAATGCCCCAACAAAAATCATTCTTTAAAAAAAATCCACTAAGGGGTAGGTTTTGATATTCTTCTAAGAGTATACCACTGCAGTTGCCAGGCTTGCTTGAACTGCTGTGCTGCACGATTGGAGTTTCTTTGCAGACACCCTATTGCTTTACCGCTCTTCTGTTCCTCACAGCTGGTACTTGGTCCAAGTGGAGTGTTGCAGGGGATTCGCCCAGGGAAGTGTTACGTGGATATGTCCACCGTGGATGCAGATACAGTCACAGAGCTGGCCCAGGTAATCACTTTGCACTGAACTTCTAACATCTGTGGTTC